TATTCGAATAAGGGTCATAAGCTTTTCTCGGTGCAAAACCTGCAGCACTCACTTCCACCTCTTGTGTCAATGTAGGACAAGCATCCGTAGGATGCGCAACACTCGTACAAATCCCACATGGTTTCACTTGAGCGTTCCCTACAACAAGTTTTCTCACAAAAGAAGTTAACTCATTCAATTTTTGTTGCATAGAAGAACTTACCTTGGCAACTTATTTCACTCCCACGACATCCCTTGGCCCAAATTGTTGAGAGTTCATAGCTATGTCGTTCAGAAATTCCCAAGCTTCTCTCGGAGTCTTGTTCATGAGAGCTCCTTCACTGGCAGCATCGATGATCCTCCTATCAATAGAAATTAGTCCTTCATAGAAATGTTGAATTAGAAGTTGCTCAGAAATCTGATGTTGTGGACATCTAGCAATTAACTTATTAAATCGATCTCAATACTCGTATAAAGACTCCCCTGATGTTTGTTTGATGCCACAGATCTCTTTTCACAAATTAGCAGCCCGGGATGCGGGAAAGAACCTTTCAAGGAACTTGCGCTTCATATCCATCCACGTGGTCACACTCCCAGCGGGCAAGTTGAACAACCAATCCTTGACTGCATCTTTCAAGGAGAATGGAAAAACTCGGAGTTTTATTTGCTCCTCAGTGATTCCCGGTGGTTTCATGCTCGTACACAACACATCAAACTCCTACAAGTGCTTGTGTGGTTCCTCACCTGCCAAACCATGAAAAGACGACAATAAATGAATTAGTCCAGATTTAAGTTCAAATGCCGTATTATCGGCTATAGCAGGAAAAGTAATACACAATGGATGTTGAATTAAATCGGGAGCTGCTAGCTCCCTAAGAGTTCTTTGTCGTTCCATTGGATTTATCACAACTTCTTCAACTCCCTTGGCCTCATCACTCTCTTCGGAACTAGAAGTGTCAGCCAGTTGGATTGCTAAGTCAGGCTCCGGTGACTCAACTTCTTTTTCAACTCTTTTTCGCTCTCTAGCTTCTTTTCTTAAATGGCATGCAGTCCTTTCGATTTCTGAATAAAAAACTAATTCACCTGTACGACCAGTTCGAGGCATAACCAATAAGCGAAAATTAGAGCTAAATAAGTAAAAGAAACAACCAAATATCAAAAATCAAATTACTATCCCCGGCAACGGCGCCAAAATTGCTAGCCTGTCGCAAGGGGGCTGTGACATGGTTATTGGAGTGGACTTGCTAAGTCAGTTTGGAAAAGTGACCATGGATTTTGCAGAGCATACAGTTCAGTTTTGTTTTAAAGGGAATATGGTTAAACTCCAAGGAATCCAGCCTGGGATTGCATTAAGCATGCTAACTATGAACCAATTTAGTAAGGAGCTGGAAATAGAAGACACTGGGGTTTTCTTATGCATTATTTCTGGGCAAACAGCAGTTGAGGCATCTGTATGTGATACTGAAATTGCGACATTGCTTCAAGAGTATCAACATCTATTTGAAGTCCCTGTTGGTTTACCCCCTAAGAGAAGCATGGACCATAGAATTCCCACCAAGCCTAATATAGGACCTATTAAGCAGCATGCTTATAGGTATCCTATGCTTCAAATGAGGGAGATTGAAAAATTGGTGGATGAGATGTTGCAAACAGGGGTTATTAGACCCAGTAACAGCCCCTATTCCTTGCATGTGCTGTTAGTTAAAAAGAAGGATGGCTCATGGAGGTTTTGCATTGATTATAGGAAACTCAATGCAACTACAATTAAAGATACCTACCCGATTCCTTTAGTAGATGATTTATTGGATGAGCTAGGGGAGGCAACTATCCTTCAAAGATAGACCTAAGGGCTGGATACCACCAAATTAGAATGCATGAAGAGGATATCCCAAAAACAACATTTGTAACTGCCTCCGGCCTATATGAGTTTGTTGTGATGCCTTTTGGCCTCACAAATGCACTAGCTACTTTTCAAGCAGTTATGAATCAGATTTTTAAGTCTCACTTGAGAGATTTCATCCTGGTTTTCTTTGATGATATACTTATCTATAGCTTGAACATGACAGAACATTTGAAACACTTGAGGATAGTGTTTAATATTCTATCTCAGCATACGTTATTTGCAAAAAAATCGAAGTGCAGTTTTGGAAAAATAGAGGTTGAGTATTTAGGGCATATAATTGGGAGTGGAAGAGTGCGGATGGATAAGTCTAAGGTTCAAGCATTGCTGGACTGGCCGACCACATCTAATGTTAAGGCTTTAAGAGGATTTTTAGGCCTCACGGGATACTACAAAAAATTCATTCAACATTATGGAACAATTGCTAAGGCCTTAACTGATCTTACAAAAAATGGGAGGTTTGTGTGGTCTCCAGAAGCTGAGACTGCCTTCCAAATTCTTAAAAATGCAATGACTACAGCTCCGGTTTTGGCCTTAACTGATTTCACTAAACCTTTTGTTGTTAAGACTGATGCATCTTACAAGGGCTTGGGAGCTGTTCTCATGCAGGGCCAGCACCCTTTGGCTTTCCTAAGCAAGGCTTTAGGCCCTAAAAGTTTGGGGTTATCAATATATGAGAAGGAATTTCTAGCTATTATATTGGTTGTGGAGAAGTGGAGGTCTTATTTGTTTCACGCCCCATTCATTATTCGAACAGATCAGAGGAGCTTGAGATACTTGTTAGATCCAAAAATCTCAACACCATTGCAGTATAAATATTTGACCAAACTCCTGGGGTTTGATTACAGCATTGAACACAAAAAGGGAACTGAAAACAGAGTGGCTGATGCATTGTCTAGAGTTCACCCTTTAAATGAGGAATTGGTAGAAGGGAAATGTGCAGCTATTACTATCTTTAAGCCTATGTGGGTGGGTGAAATTATCAACAGCTATGGCACTGATTTGTTCCTCCAGAATATAATAGCTGAGCTGGTTACCTTACCATATAATATGTCTTTGTACAGCTATCATGAAGGACTATTGAGACATAAAGGCAAATTGGTGGTGGGTTGTTCTGGAGATCTAAGAGATCAGATCCTACATCAGTTCCACAGCTCAAGTGTTGGTGGTTATTCGGGCATTAATGCCACATTTCGGAGGGTGTCCAGTGTTTTTTGGTGGCCAGGGATAAGGTAGCATGTACAGACTTTTTTCGCTTCTTGCCAAGTGTGCCAAGTGAGCAAGCATGAGAATGTGCATAATCCAGGGTTGTTGCAACCCCTACCAGTTCCGGAGCAGGCTTGGACTCATATCTCTATGGATTTTATTGAGCAATTACCTAAATTAGCCAGCAAAGACACCATCTGGGTGATTGTTGACAGATTCACCAAATATGCTCATTTCATTGCCATTGCTCACCCATTTACAGCCTTTAGTCTTGCTTCAATTGTTCCTACATTCAATCTACAAATTACATGGCTTACCTCACAGTGTTATTTCTGACAGAGACAAGGTATTCACTAGTCAATTTTGGCAACAGTTGTTTAAGGTGTTGGGGATTGAGCAGGGATTAAGCACAGCCTACCATCCACAAACCGATGGACAAACTGAGAGAGTAAATCAGTGCTTGGAATCTTATCTCAGGTGTATGTGCAGTGCTAATCCTAAGCAATGGTTAACTGGCTACCTATGGCAGAGTTATGGTACAATACTTCCTATCACACCTCCCTAGGTACGACTCCATTTCATGCATTATATGGTTTCCATCCTACACCATGGTTTTCTGGCCCTATACCTTATACCAATGTGGAAGGGGTTCAAGATTTGGTCTCCAATCGACAGCAAGCCCAACATCTACTTAAACAGGCCCTATTGGCAGCTCAATCTCGTATGAAGTATTATGCAGATTCTCATCGTCGTGAACGCGAATTTAAAGAAGGAGATTGGGTTTACCTCAAGCTTAAGCCTTATCGCCAACTTTCACTTCACTCCAAGGATGTCTGGAAGTTAAGCGCCAAGTATGCTGGTCCGTTCAAGATTTTAGCTCGTGTTGGTGTTGTTGCCTATCGTTTGGAGTTGCCCACGTCTTCTCGCATCCATCCAGTTTTCCATGTTTTTCTTCTGAAGAAACATGTTGATCCACTGTCTACTGTCACTGCCTCATTGCCTTCTTTTGATGATGATGGGAAGATTATGTTGCAACCAGTAAAAATTTTGGCCCGTCGCCTTGTCAAGCGAGGATCATCGCCGGCAACCCAACTCTTGGTTCAATGGGCTCACCTTCCTGAGGAAGAGGCCACATGGGAGTTCTTTGAGGATTTCAACACACACTTCCCTGGTGTTGCGACGTGAGGACAAGCCACGTTTGAAGGGGGAGGTATTGTCACAAAGAAATGAAGAAGGAGAAGAAGACAAATATTAATAAAAGCGTTAACTTGTAAAAGCGTGAAAGCGCTTCTTCCTAATTTTGCAATTTAGGGTTATATAAATCAAAAAACTCGAAATATATAAATCAAGGTTTGGAGGGCACACGGCGGGAAGTCATTGCAGAATTGAAGGACCCATCCGGCAACCAATAAAACCCACAATGAAACCCGAAATTGTAGAAGAGGGAAGGGTAGAGTGGTTAAAATTAGGATGTCAACTGGGGCGGGTTAGTCCCGGACCCGCCCCGGACACGGTCTTAGCGGGACAGATTCGGGTCTAAAAAACTTGGTTCGGGGCGGGTAGTGGTTTTTGAGTTTGAGATCCGGCCGGGTTACGGGTTTCACTAAAAACTCGGCCCTCCCCGGACCCGGACTCGAACTCGGATATTTTAATAATTATTATAATTTATTTATATTTGTATACCATATAAACTATATTATTTATTTATTTAAAATATTTTAAACATAAAATAGAATCTTAATTTTAAATAAAATTTGTGTTCGCATTTGTTTCTCCTACCATTCTTTTTATAATCGAGACTACTGGTGACCGTCGTCAATATTTGATTGTTCGTATTTTTAAAACTATAATTTTTTGATACTTTGACGCATATTTTTTTTATTATTAAATTATTTAAAAACAGTTATATAAAATTCCTTTTTTAAAAAAAGCGAATTTGTCGGGTTGGCCCCGTACCCTCCGGGTTCGGGGTCCGAACTCGCCCCGTTAACATCCCTAGTTAAAATAGGTAATTATCCGTATACATATCTGATTCTGATCTACGGGTAGCAACAAAGCTACGGAGCTAAATACAACTATATACATAACAAACATCCATCTTCCAACAAAGCTACGGAGCTAAATCCAAGTATCTACATAACAAACATCCATCTTCCATTCTAAGCGTGGGTAACTTCCGAGAAATCTAAATTTATTTATGGCAGAAAAAGAAGCTAACACTGATATGCAGACAAACTCTTGCTCTTGGCCTTCCTCCAGAAACTCCACACTTTTCTCTGACTTGGTTTTGGTTCTCGACTGCTCGCCTCAGTTGCTTCAGACCCAACCTGACCCTGAGTCGAAGAAGAATCTCGTTGCCTCTGGTCCCGGAACAACATCAGCAACTTATGGGCTTTCTGTTTTCCCTTCACGGTCCCGTTTACAGAAATGGACACCAATGCAGGTATTGCCCCTTCTTCAAGGACCATCTGGCTGCAGGCTTCGTTCCCATTGCATAGTTTCAGGAGGCATGTTGCCGCTTGTTCTTGTTCGATAGGCTCGCCGGTATCCAGAAGAGTCGCAAGAGAGGAAACCATGCCTGGAGCCTTTGTAATCTTGTCTCTTGTGGCGTTACTTGAAGAAGCCAAATAAATTAACACCCCAATGCATTTCTCTGTCCGCTCAGGATCCGTAGGATTTGCAGTCACATGAGTTCGGAGGCCGTCAATGATGCCGGATGACACAAGGTGAGGTATATTTGAGGGATGGCTGGCGATGTTGTAGAGGGCATGGAGAACGTCAAGCTTGCGCCGCTCGTTGACTTCACTCTGGAGGACCCTGATCAAGAAGGGGACAGCCTCGCTAGCTCCGATGATGGGCTTGGCATCCGCAAGAACGGAAAGGCTCGAGTAAAGTGATGCCGCTGCCCCAAGGGTATCGGTATCGGTATCAGTATCAGCAATCATTTTCTGCAATACTGGAAGTACTCCCAATGACATCATCAATTCTTTGTTTCTGAAAAAGAAACAGACACACAGATGAATTTCTAAAGAAGAAAAAGCAATGGCCCAATTGTGTAATTTTGAACATAGACATGATCAAGCAACAGAAAGGGATGATAAATGTGGCATGATGAATAAAAATGTCCTTGGAAACTAATTGTAATGAGTGCATGTGTTTCTTCTCAAGGTAGGGTAGGGTAGTTGCAAATAGCTCGAGGATTCATTTCATACCTCTTACTATTGAGTGCAAGGTTAACGAGAGACACTACTCCAATTTCCTGAGCCATCCTATTCCCAGCAGAGACAGCAGATCCCAAAAAGCACAGCAATTCTTCCACAAAACCATTAGCCCCCATATAAGTTCGAGCATCTTCATCATCTATGAGACAGTTCCCAATCTGCTCTACCATTTTGCATTTATTCACCAATTCATCCTCCTTCCTTAAAAGTTTAAGAAGATCCTCATATTTCTGAAACTCATGAACTTCACAATTATCTTCAGCTTCATTTCCTTCCACCTCTTCAATGATGTCATCATCAGTCAACAGTAAATCCTTAACACCACCGCCCTTGCACTTGCATGAACCAACAGATTCTACCAGCTTTGAACTTGCAGAATCAGTTTCTGACAATACTAGCCTCCAGTAGTTGAGGTCAAGTGATTCCGGTGGTCCATCGGGAATGGGAATGCCATTCTGTTCACACCAGCTAGCCACCAAACCCTTTACACAAAAATTGGTCGTCAAAAAGCGATGCGGGAGTTGCTGCTGTGTTTTGGGACAAGTACTGTGCCCATCGCCAAACCATTTCTCTATGCAAACCCTTTCATATGTTTGGCCGGAAGCTATAATAACTGGATCGTACATAAGTTGCAATGATATTGGACATCTTAACTCTTCGGGAGGGATAGGCATCTGATCTGATCTCCTTGAACAGGACTTCATATTATATGAACCCAGTTTCAAAAGTTTCCGGTCAAAGGCGGAGCTGCTGTGACCAAGACCTTGGAGACTGGGCGAGCAAGGTGTTGAACCCTGAGAATCATTGTCGTCTGAGAATTCACTCCTGAACAACTTTGAGTACTTCTTCATGAGATGCTGAAGATAAGCAATGATTGACTCCTTCCTTTTGTCTTCCTCAGCCTGTGCTCTTTCTATGAGTTTCTTCAAAGCCCTTCTCTCTCTAAGTGCAGCTCTTGAAGAGGTGATTCCAAGTTTACATGCAGCTTGGTGAAAAGATTGAAGCTCATTGCTGTTGCCACTGCTTTTGAAATTTCTTCCATGTTGGAATAATGCGATGACCTCATCACCAATTTGCTTCTCCACTGGGTCAAGTGAGAAATCAATCCCTCCAAGTTCAATTAAAATTTCAGCAATCTAGTAATAAATAATATTCAAATCAGGACACCCTTCTAATGAGGCTATGTGAATCCAAAAGCAATATTGTTAAAGAAAATATAGTTTTAAGAGTAAAAAAGTATACATCAGAATTCAGGGAACAAATGTAGCACCCTAAAACCATGCACAAGAAGAATTTACACTTCTCAAACATTCAGCAATTCATGTATCACCATTTATTAGGTTCAATGCAAAGTCTACAATAGGAAGCCATTCCATTGAATCTTGTTGTACTTCTGAAACACATTCAGGACTTAAAACAAAAAATGTGAAGTAATGAAGCACAGGAAGCCATTCCATTCAATCTTGTTGTACTGTCAAAAACATTCAGGACTTAAAACCAAAAGCTTGAAGTAATGAAGCACATTGAAGTACCTGACCACTAATGGCTTGAGGAACAATATCTTCAACTCGATGTAAGCTATCTTCTAGAGCACACCTAGCCTTTTCAAATTTCAAAACAACGGAGTCTCCAGTAATTGCCTGAAAAAAGTCGCAACAATAACTTGCATTAAAACTCCATCATAGGAACTAGCAATGTAATCATGCAGCTATATTATTGTATATTATATGTTTTAAATATATAATTTAAGTCTTGTCCTTTTTTTGTTTTAAGGATGCATAAAGATGAGAGAAGCTGGTTAGACCATACCACGTGGCACATGTTTGAGAACATAAGGAAGATGATGAAATCAAATATATAAGAAGAAAATATGCGTATATTGATGAAAAATATGGAACATAAGATAATTGAGTGAATTAACTTGGAATTCTGAACGCAACTCCATGGAAGGGGAAAATTGGAGACAAAGACTAGTAAATAAGAATTTTGAAAGAATTTCATTCCCTTCATATTATTAAAATAATAATAATAATAAAAGACTATTTAAGTAAAATCAACTATTAGCGGGCATTTACCAAGTAAAGTTTACTACATTCCGCACAATGTCGGAGAATATTCTTAGTCTTTTCAAGGGCAATATGCAGAGCACACAGTGCCTGAATTCCAGATGTGCTTCTTGGTCGTGCTGCTTCTAAGTTGGGAAATATAACCAACACTTTGATATACACAACGCACAGACTTTTGCACATCTCACTGTGTAACTGCAACAAACAACCATTTACTTCTTAATCACAGAGGTTAACAAGAAAGCCTTTTACAGAAGGTCCATCAGGTATTCAGCATAATCTCAACATAACCTGAATGGAGCACAATCCTCAATAGTTTCGACAATCTAAAGGTAAATTCTCTAATGCGAAATAGAATATCTTGAAAGCTAGAAGCTCTTTCAGACTAGAAACACTTCACTGATTGATTTAGAAATCAATTCGATATTAAATTCCAATGATAAATAGACACACGGGCTTGCACACATATATAAGTAGTATATATATGTATGTAACTTTGTCTGTGTGTGTGCTATATGAGGATATATGAATACCAAAATGTGTATGATAAATCAAGTTCTTGTCAAACAAGACAAATCAGTTTATATGCTCATACCTTCGGCTCTCCAATGGATAATAAATTTTCCTCAATCTCAGAAATGTCCATATTAAGAGTGATAACGATATTGGAACCTGCACAACAGGACTTTGACAACACCCTGGACAGTGCAAAAGAAGTTTAATCCATTTTATCCTTTGTTTGACAGCTTAAACTAGGCTATTGAGGCGAAATAAAATAATTGTTCACTTAACTACTGTCATTATTTGAAAGTGAAAATAATACCACATAGTAGTTATTGACATCTACTAAGGAACTCATTACTTCAACAAAACGCAGCTATCAATGCCCCCAAGCCATCTAATTCTATATAGAAATTAGACTATGAGAAGGTCACATCCTCAACAACTAGAAGCAAAGGAATCTCCCTATCAATAAATAGCGCACGTATTTGCCATAAATGAGGAAAAATACGTAATAGTATCACAGCGCAACAATCAGAAACAGAATGGAAGAAAACAGATCATAAGAAAAACGCCCAATTACCAAAAAAGAATCACATCCAAACAAAAAGACTAACAGACAATCACCTATTTTTTCCTTATTTTGTTTCTTCCACTTGATCAATAACAACATACCTGCGCTGCCAGCCGCCAAAAAAACTATAAAACTGGGACCAAACACTTCCACCAACAATACATAAACCACAAGTACTTCAAATGTAAAATTATAAAAATCGAAAATTGAAACCTCAACAAAAATGCTAGAAAGTAGACAAAGACACAAGGCACCAGAAAACCTCAGTTGAAAATGATCTCGGGAGGCCCCTCCATCAGAAGAGCCAAACAAGTTTTTAAAGTCTCGATTCCTTCCACTAACCGAAGGATGGTGATTCTGGACGAGAGAGAGGATCGAAAACAAAGAAGAAGAAGGTGGAGGAATGGAATAATAATAATAATAATATAATTTAATTATACAATATACTCCACATATATACATACGGCGGGGAATGATTATTTAGCTCCATTTAGCATATCAAACAGATTATCTCCTTGTCTAGTCCCTTTTCTGCCGACTACCAGAACTTTACTTTTTGGTCGCTTGTTAGACATAAAATATTAGGGGTGTTATTGTGTGAAACTGTTGAAAATAAAATAAATTTTTTGTGAGATATATAAAATTGTATGGAAAATATAAAAATAATTAATAATTAATGTTTATAGTATATTAAATTTTTCAGAAAAATGTGTAGAAAGAAAAAAGAGAAAGAACAAAACCTATATTTTTTAAATAAATGTTTTAAATCAAAGAAATTTTTTGAAATATAAATTTGAAAGTAGTTTTCAAAATTAATTAATATAAATAATTTCACGAGTTTTGATATTTTTTATTTTTTTATTTGTTTTTCAAATTTAAGAAATTATGAGTTTTTTTTTTTTTTTATGTCCACTTTATGTTTTACAAATTGTCAATAATTTTTTTTTTTTTTTGGCATTTTAGATTTTAAGTTAAAATTTGAAAAATAAAAAATTGAATTGAAATAGTTGCAATAGTATGAAATAAATGAGTGTTGATACAATCTTTTGAATAAATAGTTGATTTTTAGTATAATTTTAAAAAAATTATTTTATTTGATACTATTATGAAATTTATTAACGGATCTAAGTATTTTATTTACGAAATCAAGTAACAACACAAATATTGAACTAGTTTGGTTAGGCTCAGCCCCAACCAACTCGGAAAAGCACAAAATCGACACAATACACACCTAATCTAGCGACTACACAAACGAACCGGCCACGACCGCGATACACACGATATATAACCCCACATCAACACAAACAAAGCACCCGAAGGCCTACCGCGTCGAACGAGCCCCTTTCGGCTACGAACGACTACACACAAAAGGGAAAACGTGCCACAGGAACTCCACAAGATTACAGGAGGAAGGCACCACCGAAAAACCGCCGTGAACCGCCGTGAAAGTCACTGGAAAGAGGAGAGCAGTGGGTCAAGAGAGAGAGAGGAGAAAGGCTAGAGAGTAGTGAGCGTAGAGAGAGAGTGAGATTAGAGAGATTGATGAAAAAATGACTCTCTCTATATACATATACATGCCAAATGGAAATGGAGGGCTAAGATCAAGATCTGTAATCAACGGCCCAGATCAAGCCTCGCAAAGGGACGCGGACCCCAGCCGGGTAACAGGTCGGGTCATGGGCGCGGGTGCGGATCACAAGTAAGAGTCAGTAAGTGGGTTGTGGTGTGGGTTGTGGGTCACAAGCCAGACCCGGTTCGAATGGGCTGCTTAGATAATTGGTGTGTTGTGTATAATATTGGGGTGGATCCGAAGGACAAAAATCCAACAAATCCTCCACCTGATTTTTCGTCCGAGTGGAATGGGGATCATCATCGCCTATAATTTTGGATTATATACCTGCACAAAGAAAAAGATATATACAAGTTAGTCAAACAATACATTACTTTAGCCTACCATCTACACATGTAGAACACAGCTAATCAAATATATCAAAACATATAATTTTCAAACAAGATACAATTTTCTTAATTTTCCACAATATTGTATCTTCAACAGCAGGCATATTTCTAAATCCAATTATTGACAAACCTTCTCTACATTGTAAATGTGTCATACAACAGAAACATGTAGTACACAATATACAAACAAAAACAGTAGCAAGCTTCACAAGTTTCATATCATTCACAACCAATGATAACATAACAAAAAGAAGCGAATACCAAAGCCTAGAAACTAATTTTAAACACTCATTACCACCTAATGAGCTCTTATCTTCTTTTAACACAAAACATTGAGACTTACTTTCGGGATTGAACAATTTCCTATCACTCATAGGTTTATCCACATCCAAGCTCTCAAACATACCTCTAGGTAAAGAAGATGAATCAAAATTACTAAACATAGAGAACACCTTAGGACTATTCCTAACTTCATCTCTAACAAATAAGTAATTTTCTAACTCATTACTATTATCCAAATCAGTTTCTACATTATTTTTAATCTCATAAACTGTATTTTCAATTTTATTCACAAACTGCCTTGGAGCAGATAAAATTCGAAAATCACCAACAAAAATATCAGTTTCACTAGATCTTCCCTCATTATCAACCATACACTCTACATCAGAGATAACAACATTTTCGTTCACAAAATCAGTGTATTGCTCAGCAGCAGTTTTCATATACAACAAAGAATCAGAAGCAATATCAGCATCAACTTGAACATCACAATGCACAATTTCTGATTCACAACTAGTATTATCAACATGTATATCACATAACTGCACATTTATATAATCAGCAACCATGTTCTGATTTTCAGAATGACAACGAAAAATAGAATTTTCAATTTCTTTCTCTCTAATGTCAATTATATCAGTCTCCACCTCACTTTGAATACCATTTTCACAAACATAGGTGACTTCTCTCTCAAAATTGACAAACTCAATTTTAGCATCAATTTGCACATTATCAGCAGATTGAATATTAATTTCATGCAAATCAAAATTAATATAATCACAATTGAGAACACAGTCTTCTTCCTTCCCAATTTCTATATTTTTTTTTTGAACAACACAGAAATTATCAGCAGCATAATTAATAGTATCACCAATTTCAGCAACTTCTAAATCATCAAATTGCACCAATTCAGATTCACAATTTTTACACTGCTTAAGAGTACAATCAAAACGAGACACTGGTTTCAAATATTCATTCTCTCTCTTATATTCTGAATTATCATTTTTGAAAACAGGTAAATTTTCAGCAGCTTTAGAAACATTTTCAAAACCCATGTCAGCAATTTTTAAAATAGGACATTGTATAGTTTTGGGTTCACAAACAGCACGTTTACCACTCAAATCAAAAAGAAAATCAGACTCTTCAGAATTATTTTCTGCCTCTTCAACCTCAATCAGATTATGCTCCACCTTATTTAAAACACTATTAAAATCTGTACAATTTTTAGCAATTTCAGAATCAAACAACTCAGACTTTTCATTCAAACATGGCATAACACCTTCATTAAATGTCACATTATTACTAATAATGGTTTTTAAAATCAGGTCTAGAACTAAGCCATAACTTATAACCTGTAACACCATAACTCAAGAAAACACAATTTTCAGTTTTCTTTTCTAAACCATTAGTGCAAATACATATCACAGCAGAACACCCAAACAAACGAACATTAGACATGTCGACAATTCTACCCAACCACTTACTTTCAGGAATTTCACCATTAAGAGGGATAGAGGGTGTTCGATTTAAAAGATACGCTGTTGTTACAGCAGCCTCACCCCAGAATTTTCTAAGTAAACCAGACGATGTCAAAAGACATCCAACTCTTTCCAAAAGAGTATGATTTAACCTCTCAGCAACCCCACTAAATTGGGATGCCTTGGGGACAAATTCAAAATTAATACAATTTTGCACACAGAAATTATTAAACCAGGTGTTACAAAAATTTAAACCATTATCAATTTTAATACATTTAATTTTCCGGCCAGTTTCACTTTCAATTTGAATTTTCCAATTCTTGAAAACCTTAAACAAGTCAGGTTTATTTTTCAATAAGAAAATCCAAAATTTTCTAGAAAAATCGTCAACTACAGTTAAGATATATCTACTACCACCATAAGTGGGTTCATTAGAAGGTACACATAAATCTAAATGTATATATTCCAAAATCCTTTTTGAAAAAATAACATTTTCAGGGGTTTTTAACGAAAATTGAACTTTATTTAATTTTTCAAGTTTGCACATATTACAAAAGGGAACAACAGAAAATTTCTCATTTTCCAAATAACCACATGCAGAATTTTCAGACCATTATTGCTTATATGACCTAACCTCTTATGCCATTATTCAGAATTAAAAATTTCAGAATTATCAAAATCAGAACATGCATTAACAGGTATAGCAGAGGTTATATACAAGTCATTTTTTAAATCTGCCCTTAAAATCACTAAAGACCCTTTTGTTATTTTCATACAATTTAAACCCCACTTTCCTTCTAAACCTAAAGTAGATAATCTAACACATGACATCAAGTTGTTTGACAAACCAGGCACATATCTCACATCATGCAGTTCTATCACATTACCAGATTTAAATTTCAAATTGACAACACCAATTCCCTCAACTTTACACACACGATTATCAGCCATAGTCACATAACAATGTGTTAAAGTCTTAAACTCAGAAAAAATATTTTTCAAATGTGTCATATGAAATGTGCATATAGAATCAACTATCCATTCATTAGCACTCAAAATATTTGAATTTAAATCTGGACAAACAACAAACGCATTTCCGAAATCATTGTCAATAACAGTCATATTGGCTAACTCACTTGCTGCACTACTATTATTTATGTTATTATTATTATTATGTTTCTTAGGGCAATATCTAACAAAGTGTGAAGAATCACCACAATTATAACATCTCTTTCCTCATTTATTAGGAGTTTTAGATCTATTTCGACTTCTATTATTATTATTCTGATATTTTATTTTATTATCAGAATTTCCAGAATTATTATTCCTATTAGATCTAAAAGGAGACCTACCCCTAATAAACATAACATCACCAGATTTATTAGATTTATTTACATTCAAATCTAATTCTTTACTTTTCAAACCATTAATAACCACATCTAAAGTCACAAAATCACGCCCATATTTAATTTGTCGATTTCACATCAGAAAAAACACTTGGAATAGCATTCAAAAGAATTATAGCACTATAATCATCTATATTCTTATCACCAGTAAGCTTAATATCTTGAATTAATTTTTGAAAAATATCAAGATTTTCATCAATAGTTTTAAGTTGATCAAGTTTAAAACTAAAGAACTTTTCTAACAAAAAAAGCCTACTAGGTAAAGAAGTTTGAGTATATAATTCATCCAATTTATTCCACAATGCCACAACAGATTCTTGTCTACCAACCTTACGAATTACATGATCAGCTAAATTTAGAATTATACAAGACGAAACCATTTCATCCAACTCAGCCCTCTTTT